CTCTTGACTCTACACAGGTAAAAGAGGATTGGAAGTATGTCGCCATGGTGATTGACCGCATCTTCCTGTGGATGTTCATTATTGTGTGCCTGCTCGGGACCATCGGCCTCTTCCTCCCCCCCTGGCTAGCTGGCATGATCTAGCTCTCGTGAGAAGGTGTGAAAAAATTCCATAACCACTGCTAGTTAGTGAAGATTGACATTCAAAATGTAGCTGAACTCTACTTCAAGACTGTTTGCGGCCTCATGAGGCTACAACGCTCTTTACACACCACCAAACCAGAAGTTTGCTTATTTTAGGGCCTTATTACGAGCAGGGCAAAAATCAGAAGGGTTTATTTTTTGTTCAGTGGCCATTTTTGGAAGAATCTCAGACTCAGCTCGTCACTTTCATCTGTCTAAGCTGCACTTTGTCAGCCTCAGGTGTACTTCCTCAGCCTCACCTGTAATGTTGCTAAAATTAGCATGTTAACATACACAGAGTTGGCAACTACATGCTAATGTTTGGCAACATGTAAGATTTGAGATGTTAGCATACTAATGTTAGTATGCTAACATGCCGATGTTTGGTAAATTGTCTCTTAAGCATGTTCATGTAACACACATGCAGTCAGATCAGTCTCAGTATCAATTAATGTACGCAGATGATTCACAATTGTATTTTGTGATTATTGACTCCCCTCAAAAATAATCTTCAGTGCACACAGAAATAATTATTGTTGAATAGGAATGAAAAAGGTTCACAAATGTATTTTTGACAAACAAATATTTCTTGTTTAAGATATATGTAATGCAGTAAAGTTCACACATGATGGGCAGTTTGTAAATGCAGGTTCAACAGTCTGTATGTAAAAGTACCAACATACAAATATGTTTTTTATAGGGTTGCAGTCACACACCATGAAACCATGATTGTGTAATACTGTATATGGTGATATAATGACACCATGATATTTTCTGAGACAGTTACACTACCATGAAAACCTCATACTGTTACAACCTTCATTTTTTATGAAAATTGCTTATACTTCAAAATCCATATATTTGAAATTTTATTTTATTACAAGAAATTTTTGTGTTTGCATCAGGAATACATTTCTGAACCTTTCCATTTACTATAGGTGGATTTTTTTCCATTTATATACATTAACTTTCTGTGTGCACAAAAAAATCTTTTTGTAAAGAGAGTCATTATAAAGCCTGGTAAGACCATCCTGATGATGTGAACTCAACATTCTGTTTCGCTCTCTGCATCAGTCTGGAGTCAGTGCCGCCTCAAACACTTTCAGTGGGCGGGAGCTCTCACCTTCACAGACAAACTCCTTCAGCCAATCAGCATAACAGAACACATCCTTATCACCAGCAGAGCCAACTGATAAATCAAGATTTTGCCACATCCAGTTGGATGAACAAAAAAGTATTTTCCTCAGAGAAACTCCACGAGTGCAAAGTCACTTAGAGTTAGCGCTTATTGGCTTCAGGAGCCGCCATTACTGTTCTACAAGCTGTGGCCTGCATTTTACGTCATCAACCACAACCCAGTTCCTGATTGGCTGTTTACGTTATCAGCTACGGTACGGCTCCATGATTGGCCCTACTGGATTTTAATTTATAGAAAGGGTTTAGGATGGCAGTGGAACCAGACTGATACAGAAAGTGAAAGAGGATGTTGAGCTCACATCATTAGTATGGTCTTACCAGACTATCATTTATATATAAATAATTAAAAAAAACAATTGTGAATCCTTCTGTGTCCATTTATTACCTCCATCAAGGAGGTTATGTGTTTGTTTGTTTGTCTGTCTGTCAGCAGGATTCCAGAAAAAGTATGGGTACGGATTTTGATGCAACTTGATGGAAGGGCCGAGAAAGAATTCTGGAGAAGATCTGAATTACTGGGCGGAAACAAAAATTATTTTTCACTTTTGTTGACATTGCGGGACTGAGCAGGTCTGCACTCTCCGAATGCCTGATCTAATTAACTGACACAGATCTGACTCCATAGAACTGCTTGTTAAACAGCATGGCATCACTGTGGGAAATGCATTACACCAATGTAATTACATTTCTCTGCTGTTTGAGGAATTACAGTTTTCAATTTAGCAGCCTGATTACATTACATTTACTAGTAACACTGGGGTCAGTAACAGCACTGACTGAACTGTCGAGCTGTTAATGGACAGTAGCTAAATACCTCCAACGCCTCAGCTGGCGTGGCATCAGCTGTGTGAGTGTGGCAGTTCTGGAGTGTTGGCACAAGCTGGGCTGAGTAACGGAAAGAAATGTAACTAATTACTGTTAGTGTTTAGTTACTAGTAAAGTGATTATATTTTGAATTACCAGTAAAAAATCACTTGGGTTATGTTTTCCAAGTGACTTGTCCTACACTGGTCAGCAGCATTGGCTTGGCTCTAAGTCATTTAGAGGAGTCAGTCATAACCTGAAATGTCAAGTAGATATTCAGGAATAACCAAAGTCATCAGGATTCATCTTCTGGGGAATATTGCCGGAGTCATCCAAGTGTCGGGCTGACACAGTGACAGACTGATTCAGCCACACTTTTTCAGCATGGATAAAATAAATATAGCAATGAGATGCTGAGTTTGTGTCCAACTGAAAAACTTCCTTCCACCTCATATGGGATGGCTTCAACTTTATATGTTTTACAACTTCTTTTGGTTTGGACCAACAGTGGCATGCTATACAGGGAGTCTATAATCTGCTGGACACGTTATCTGGGATCATTTGTGCTGGTTTGGGAAGAATTTCCTTTTTTTTTGACAGGTTTTTCTTTCTGGCTGTGCTGCCATGATTAGAATTATTTTTGAATGATCATACTATGAAATAAATCCCCTAATTAAACCCTCAGTACCCTGTCTATATTCCTGTTATTGAGTGGTGTGAACATTACCTGAGAGCAACATAAGGTTGGGTCATTCCTCCAGTCGTCCTTCCGAGATTTAATCCCAAATTTTTCACTGATAACCCTTTCAAATAATCAGTCTTTTTTTTTTTTTTTTTTTTTTAACATTTACATGGAAAAGTAGGTTAAAAAAAGTGTTTTATGTTCCATCTAAATTGTGTCCAGTGGGATAATGTGTATCTTCCATTTGTTGACCAAATTAACATCATCTCCTATGAAGTCATCAAAATTCTTTTATACCCCAACTCAGTTATTAACACATTTAAAACTCTAGAATGTTCTACCACATTTGAGTGAGTACTTTACGTATCAAAAACCCTAGTACATACATATATCACCACTTTGTCAGTGGCCTTTTACATTAACATATGCGCTAGGTATCCTTCTGTGTCTGCTGTTGACGTCACAGGACTCACTACCAACACCGGGACATCAACAAAAGCACGTGGTTGGGTTTAGACAACAAACGCATGTGGTTAGGTTTAGAAAAAAAATCTTGGTTTGACATTCAGGAAGCAAACACTAGGCTTTTGGGTGAAAGTCCAGGGTTTGTTGGACCTGTCCACCACCCCTCCTACCCACCCTATACGGACTTTCCTGCTCCATATATTACGTCGTTACCAGCAGCATTTTCACATATGATGTGCTTGGTATCCTGCATCTGCAGTTGACGTTCCAGGATGCACTACCAACACCAGGACGTCAAAAAAAGAAGGGGAAAAAAAAGCCAATTGATGGGTTTTGGCAACAAGAGCATGTGTTTAGGTTTAGAAAAAAAATCATCTTGGTTTAGCATTCAGGAAGGGGACACTCAGCTCCTAGGTGAAAGTCCAGGGTTTTTTGGACCCATCCACCACCCCTCCTACCCACCCTATAAGGACTTTCCTGCCCCTTATATTATGTGGTTACCAGCAGCATTTTTACATATGATGTGCTAGGTATCCTTCTGCGTCTGCTGTTGGCACTCCAGGATGCACTACCAACACCTGGACGTTAACAAAAGTATATGGTTTGGTTTAGAAAAAAACATCTTGGTTTAGCATTCGGGAAGGGAACCCTCGGCTCCTGGGTGAAAGTCCAGCGTTTGTTGAACCTGTCCACTGCCCCTCTTACCCACCCTATACAGACTTTCCTGCTCCTTATATTACATCATTACTAGCAGTGTTTCAATATGACCCCGTCCAGCAGTGTATCATACGCTGATAGGTGCATATCTATCAGCATATCACAACAACGCCAAAGGTTACGTTCGACTGCTTCACATACTGCCATGAAAGGTGGCTTTTGGCGTCAGGTGTCTGACACAGAAATCAATACAAAGCAGCAGTATTCAACAACTTCTGAATGAGGCAGGATGGAGGGGGAGGTCATAATCACTGATAAAGTTGTTCCTGTCATGATCTGTTTGCATGAGTTCAGCATGTGAATTCAAAAGCCTGGCTGGCAAATGACCTGTCCCCCCTCATAGTCTATATCTGACCGATCTTTGTCACAATCAATGAAGAAAGCATCTTTTTTTATTTTTACAACCGTAAGGCTATGTGCCTTGTCTGGGCTGTCACCTTGATCCTACATGTCCAAAACTTCACTCAAAGTGAACCTAAAAAATGACAAGTAGAAGGTTGGGTAGAATAAGAAGTATGTATGTGTAGAAGTACATGTGGATTTAGGTGCATCAACATGTTCACTAATTGTGTGACCCCACTGAACAAAATTGACTAATTGCAAATGCACGTATCAGCACTAGACACCTCGTCCTATCTTTACGTTAACAAACTTCACTAACCTTTTGTTTGGGAGCTTTGATGCAGCCATCCTCATCACATGGTGCAACCAGGAAGTAAACAGCTCTGGTCATGTGACAATTTAAACATGTGACACTGCACATATGTGATTGAGACCCTTTGTTATTTTTAGTATTTGTTGGAAATGCATTGACACATCATTCAGTAACATTTTCAGAGCCTTATGACCGAAAACTTTTTTGCGGTTGCTATGGTGACCGGTGGGATTAAATGGGTTAAATATTCAACAGCAACAAGAAGATATGTTTAAATGAACAGGCATGTACAGTTGTATATACATTATGATATTTATTTGCATATCACTTGATTTACATACTAGAATTTGATATTTTATAATAATGATAATGGACATGATACAAAAACCTTTTTCTTGAAAGAGTATGTGACATATCCGACAATCCATTATCCAAACCACTGTCGTCTTCATCTCATCATTTTTTTTAACATAATGCATCATAGTCAAACTTGAGATAGGAACTGTATATATATTTACTATAAAACACTTTTGAACAGTTGAATGGCAATTTTGTCATCTTTACATTTCACTCAGGTCACTGCTGACAGGTTTGAGGCAGTAAACCATGTAATTGTGTTTTAGTCTGCATTATTTTTTTCTGCGTAAAAACGACATTTTATATTTACAAAGATTCAGTTTCTGAACAGATAATTAAAGGGTGAGTTCAATATTTTAAAATCTGAAACCATTTTCCTATGTTTTGTGTCTAAGTGACTAATGGGAACAACAATTTTTGAAATTGGGCCAGTATTGAAAGAGACCGCTGCAGCTGGTAGCCACGAAACAGGCTGCAATGTAACCATTGCCCAATGTCAGGGCAATTGTGCACCAACAATTTAAATCCACTAAAAGTGCTTGTTTTTGTCCCATAACAGGCTCAGATTATTATTGTAAGTGTCTGATAACATTATGGAAAGGATCCCTACAGAGACAGACCTTTTTGTTAAAGAGTAAGATCATTTTTGTTTAACCAAATACTAAAATACTAAAACCAAGGCAACAAGACTCCATTTAAATAAATGGTAATTTTAGCGTGTGTGGAGCCAGCATTTTTTCACATCCTACTGGGGAAATTAAAGGTTTATTTCAACCAAACCAGTGTTGGTGATTGTTTTAGCCATGAAGAGACAATCCAAGACTGTTTCTTTTTAGCTTTATTTTGTTTTGTTGACTTTGAATGAAGTGTTTTACGATGATAGAATTACTATTTATTTGAATGGAGTCTGGTGGATTTGGCAATAGCGACTGTTTCTTGTCAAACAACAAGGATCTTAGTCATTAACAAAAATGGCTATCGCTCTCGGGATCCTTTCCATAATGTTGTCAGACACTCCTGAGCCTGTCAGTGGCAAATACAAGCATTTTAGGAGGCATAAATTGACGGTGCAAACATGCCCCAAAAGGTTACTTACAGCCTGTTTGGCAGCTGCCAGCTGCAGCGCTCTCTGTCAATATGGGACCAGATTAGAAAATAGTTGTCTCCATTACTCACTTAGACACAAAAACATAGGAAAATAGGGTCTAGGTTGACAAATACTGAAGTAAGTCAATAACTCTCCAATCACAAATGAGAACAGTTTCCACTGAATGAAAAGTGTCTGTCACTGTAAATGTGTTGCCAATAGATCATCATCGATTTCAGTATACATACATCTTTAATGAGCACACAACCACTTAATTCCAAGTTGTCTGTATCCACTGAGTTGTAGCATCTTATTTAAACTTAACAAGACACATTTACAGGTATGATGAAGAACGGTCACAGCCTTAATTTAAGCAGTTTGACACAACAAAAATGCTCACCTGTGTGCAAATGTTATTTCTGACTGACAGATGTGAATCATTTGCTTAATGTGTAAAGGTTCATAGACATGTTCCATTTCAGATATTCACGTTTCCAGACTCAAATTTCCAGATGTCTGTAGACTTTTTCAGACCCTATTTGACATCTGAGCACAAATAGCTAGGATGAGTTGAAAAAAAGGTGAATAATTTAATTTTCACAGCGTCTGTACAGCCTCATTTATTCACTGTGCCCATGGAAATGACGTGACCGCAGTTATACAGGTTTCCTTATGAAAAAAAAAGAAAGACAAAGAAAGTCGGTTTACTTTTCTGATCACTGCATAACTCATAAATGTTCAGAAAAGCTCAACGTTTGGCATTTTGTGATGCTATGTTTTTGCAATTCAAAGACTGACGCAGTTTCTTTCAAACAAATTTGTTTGCAGATGCTGGGATTTGATTCGGTTATAAGGCACTTCAGGCAGAAATGATTTGCAGGCTGTGACGTACAGGCAGCTCTGCATAGGGGAGTGTGTTCAGTTGCACGCCACACTTCTTGACTTGCTTTTGATAACATCAAGCTCACTCTGGCCTGCGCTCTCTCATACAGTGGTGAACATTTTGGCTGTGCTGGCTGATCCAAATGCCATAAAAGACACTACGATCAATTTATTTATAGAATTTCTGAGTTTTATATTTTAGAAAACAGAACAGGGCATTCGTCTGGAAACACATACATTTTTACATGTACTCCAGTAGTCCAGGAAACTACTGAATAATCTGCATAAAAAACCTGACACTGCACATGAGAACTTACAGTCTACTAGGGCTCCGCCGGCTTGGCTAAGTTGGCCCTGACTCTGGCTTGATCCACAGCGTCCAACATGTTCTTACTGTCCACAGCCAGTGTGTGTGCGGCAGCCAGCATCTGTTTCTTACACTCCTCCTTCAGAGAGGTGATGGCGTTCTGCTGTGCCAGCCGCATTTTGCTGATGAGCTCCGCCATGTCGTTGTTCAGCAGCTTCTGGGTGCCCTCGATCTGTGGGGACGGGAAACAAACATAATGAGTGGGTTTAGGTGGCTGCTTTCATGGAAGACATGTTGGAAAAGCATGAATGAATGAATAATGGCTGAATTTCATTTGGCTGCTTCAGTTTCAGGATCCTGGTATTGAACATGCTGACCATAGACAGTTTAAAAGAAGTGGACATAGCTACTGTGACATCATCCACTGGTGAGAGCAGCTGAGAGCTGTTAGGTTCATCCAAATGTTGTCAAAAGTAACACTACATAGAAAGTAAAAGTAGAAAATCATACACTTCTTAGGGCAGCTCGCATTTAAACGTGAACCATTCATTCCAATGAAAGTTCCTCAATGGCTCATGAGGCATATAATTATTTGGATGATCAGCACTACGTCCGAGCTCATCTAGACTTTCAATATATTATGGGACTTGAAGGTGTTTATCCACTGATTTACAGGTGTCTCTTTTGCCACATAAGTCGATGGGAAAAAGTCATTTTGGGCCACAGGGAATTACAGGATGGACCCATAAATTGTAATTCCACTGTTTGGCCACAATGAAAAACCCTGGCGCACTTCCTTGGGGGCCTGAATGGTGACTCATTTTCTTCCAATACTTCCCTGGATTTGTCTGTGCTATTAGACTTTTTACATCCACTGGAGTCCCCACCTGCTGGCCGATAAAAAGAATTCAGGTTTAAGGCACTTCCACACTGGCTCTTCTTTTCAGACCCAGGGTTTAATTTATAAAACAATATGTAGAATCCATACTAAAAATGTACTTCCACCTCATCATCTGCATCTCCAATTTCCTGTCTCCAAAATACTGGTAGGCATGGGTCAAAGTTTCTCCCATCAAGTCTGTTTTTATAGATCACAACTTAAGCACAGGAAGTGTGCAGAAGTTCTCCCCCAGAGATAACCCCTTAATACTGACTCGGTCACACTGTCATGACTTACTGGGACATCTGAATGTAGAGGACCATCATTCGTGTTATTAGTAACACCTGAGCTTTTCCTACTAAGTCAAAATGTCTGCTGTTAGAAATGCCTGTAAACACATGTATAATGTTGTGTAATCAAAATAAACAGCAGAGGTGTAACGATTCACCCAATCCACAGTTTGCTTCAGAATTCGAGGGGACATGTTTTGGAAAATGAGTGAAGGAACTGAAAACCTACTTCTTATTACTATAGCCCAAACCCCAGCAGCAGTTTTGGGCCCGAGCCCCAAATTTCTACTGTACTTTCTACCTGGGGGGTCTGCGATCTCAAGGTTACTGGCAGTCATTCTGAAAGCTCTGCCTCGTGAGTTTGTGAAAGCTGAACAGGCTTAACCTGGGTAGGCGTGGGGAAAAATGCAACATGGAAGACATAACCATGACACAGTGATCGTGGACATTGGTATTGCGTGTTCTGTTTTGGTTTGGTTTGAGAACCGTTACACCCCTAATAAATAGACATGGACACTGTCTTAGTGAAGCTTATAAATGTTTTGGTTGAAACTGCTACAGGGATGTGTTGATTTAACCAGTCTGCATTATATTGTTATTTATACAGAGCACATACACCACATATATGGTCCTCAACACACATTCTGTTGGCCGCATGTGTGTATATCAGCTGGTGTTGCATCAAATTTAAAATATCTTTGTTCTCTATTTGATAAATTGATAAATGCAGCTTTGTAGAAACTGCTCTAATATGCAAGCTATGGATTTTGGATTTCTCAGAATAGTATACATGACACGGTCACTTCCTCTTTGCTTCTTTGTGTCTGAGGAGGAGTTCTGTCACTTTTTGTTTCAGGGACAAACAAGCTGCGGGGAAGAAAAATCAATACAGAGAAAGAGTAACGTGATGAGAAAAGACAGCAAACAAGCTGCAGACAATATACTGCACCTCAGTCCTGACAGACTCGTGTAAGGTGGGCAGTATGTCATCCACACTGCGAATCAGGTCTCGTAAAGCCATCCCAACAGACTGTGGGCAGAGATTAATGCAGAGGATTAATCAGCCGTATGACTCAGGAGGGTTGATTTCTATTACAATTCACACGCCTTCAATTTGCAGTTAAAGCAGCAACATGCTGTAAAACTGAAGTGAAAAACTGACATTTGTCTTGCTGTACCTTCACAAGGGTGATATAATTTTCCGGTGGCAACTCTGTGATGTCATTCTTGAGTTGGACAACGACTTTGACCAGGTCCATGACGTACTGGTACACTTTGTCATCAGAGCGGTCCAGCTCAGCTGTGGGTGCAGGCTGAGTGAGAGGGAACAATGTGTTTTAATAATTAATATACTCATCCTCATTACTTCACACAGAGGATAACTGGGCTCTATTTTACATGCAAGGTGGCATTAATTCCCTTTCAATTGAAGGGTAGTTTTACTTTCTTGAGATGACTGAGTTCATTATAAATTCTCTTTATCTAAAAATCAAAGCTAATAAAATTAAATGGTCTTCTTGGTGCGATAAGAAGATATTACAATCCAGGAAATGAACCGATAAAATTACCTGTGCTGTGAGCCGTGGGGGCTTCTCTGGGGGTGCTGCAGGTCAGAAAAATGAACAACGTGAGAGACAGAGAAAGAAAGAGAGAGACAAGAAAGACAGGAGGGTTTAAACAGAGACTATAGTACTGAGACTGACTCGGAATAAAACATGAATTTGTGAATATCTTTTGAGCACTTACCGTTCTCTGTGTCAGCTTCAGGGGCCTAAAGAGAAAGAAAAAGATGAATTGATGAGAACTAGAAAACAAAACAATGCTGCTGTCTAAACTGTCAAGATGCTGCAGACCAGTGGTTCCCAGCTGGTCCAGCCACTGGGTCCAGATTTCTCCTACGTCATTAGTGCAAGGTCCACACAGTTTAATATATTCAGTGTCAAACTTGTGTTTGGCCATGCCGTTAAGCTAGTTTTCTGGCTCTTTGGTAAAACTAATTGAATATAAAACTTATGTTCTATGCCTAAAAAAAAAATTAATACAAAGCTTGAAGGAAAAGTTCTTTCATTGGATCATATATTGGATCTCTGTGGAGAAGAAAGACAAAAATTCACCTTCTTATCTTTTTTGCATTTTGAAATTTAAAGGGTTACTTTTGTATTTTTCAACCTGGACCTGATTTTGTCATATTTTTGTTTCTACCTAATTAATAGGAACAACAGTTTTTGAAATTGGTCCTGTATTAAGTGAGAGGGGATGCAGCTGGCAGTGCTGAAACTGGCTGCAATGTTACCACTCAGGGCATTTGTGCACCATTGGTAAACATCCGTTAAAAGTCCTTGCTTTTTGCCACTAACAGGTTCAGATTATTATCACAAATTTCTGACACCATTACAAACGGTGCCAATCCCCTTTGATCTGACATCAGATGTGACGGGACAGTCGATATAGAGATACATTTATGTGCTGATTGCAGATAGTTGCATTGAATAGTGGTTTTGTGGCTATTTATTGCATCGTTAATGTGCCTGATATTCTGGAAACCTGCCTGTGAGGTTTTGGTGACGTGCGTGCACTGTCCGCCGGTCAGCCAAACTTCGGCTTACACCGGCTGCGCTCCCCCTGCGCTGACAGTAGACCTGGTTTCAGATGGCGAGCTTTAAGCGCACCTTCGGCGAAGCCTTTTGGCACGAAACTGTCACTGCGCCAAGCTGTCTGTTGACACCTCCCCCTGCTGCGCCACCACACCCATCTCAGCGCACCTCGGTCTGCCAAACTACCAAACTGAGCGCGCCTCGGGTTGCGCTGCTCGAAACTAGTTCTGCACGGGGTTTGCCACCCTGCGCTGCGCCGGGAAACTAGAGCCTTTTGACTTATTTCCACTCAGCCGACAGTGGGACTTATATTCATTGTGCCGACAGTGGCTTGGAAAACCGCCCATAATCGTGTCACACGGGGAAGAGGGAAGAGGGAAGAGGGAAGGCGGCTGGAGTTCCTCCAACATTTGCGGTTAGATTATCATATATTTTTATTGACAGAAATATAGGCTGCTTCGGCTGATTTTTTTTTATGCGCACATGTGCCCCTAAATATTTTTTACAGTTCGCACACACGTATTTTTTGTCGAGTGAAACGCTCTTACTGTCGAGCGCTGGATCTGACAGCCTGAGCACATCGTCACAAAATTCTACGGCGTTCTAGATATTATTTATATCATGAGAATTCAATACTTTCGGCATCCTAAATCTTTTATTTAGAAACTATGGCGGGTCAAATTAAACTATGGCGGGCCGCCATAGTTTCGTTAATTAATGGGAAACAGTGCATTATGAGAAGGATCCAAACAAAGATAGACCTTTTTGTTTACCATAAAACAGCCCCGAAATTGCTATCACCAAACCCACCGGACTCCTTTTAAATAAAAGGTAATTATAGCGTGTACAGAGTCAGCATACTTTCACATCTAACTGGGTGAATTAAGGGTTTACTTCAACCAAACCACAGTAAGTTATTGTTGGAACAATGAAAAGACAAACTAAGACATTTTTTTGTGAGTCTTCTTTTTCCTCAGTTGACTTTGAATAAAGTGTGTCTTACATGATATAAGCACTGTTTATTTGAACAGAGTTTGGTGGGTTTGTCGATAGCATTTTCAAGGCTGTTTCTGCTTTAACAAAAAGGATCTTACTCTTAAACAAAAAGGTCTATCTCTGTAGGGATCCTTTTCATAATGTTGTCAGACACTTATAATAACAATCCGATCCTGTCAGTGACAAAAACAAGCACTTTCAGTGGCTGTAAATTAACGATGTGCACATGCCCAGAGTGTTGACACTGTAGCCTTAGTTGTGGATGCTGGACGCAGCGCTCTCTCTTAATACTGGACCAGTTTCCAAAACTTTCCCATTAGTCACTTAGATGCAAAAACATGAATGATGCAGGGTACATAAACTATCAAATGTTATGTGGCATGCTGATTGCATTATGCCACATGTCCAATGGGAATAAGAAGAACATGTTACCAAAGAAATCAAACTGAGCTCAGAAATGTGAGATACATCACTAAGATCTATTTGGCTACAATTTGTTTTAAAGTAGATTTTTTCTCTGACTTTGATGTCACAGTCTGTAGAGGCAGACACCTACCGCTGGGCTGGTAGGGTCCTCTGGTCCCATGGGGTCCTGCAAAAGAACAGGCAGGTTCATTTTATACAATATGGACATGGACCCTCTCTTTGGAACTGTTATCAGGGGAACATTTAATTTAAGACTTGCGGGGCGTCGAGAGTGAACAAGTGGGTTGATATTGTTAAACGATGCCTCGTTCAGCGTAGCCTTCAGGGCCACATTGAACTGAGTAGGGTGACACAGAGACACAGAGAGGGGGTTGACAAAACTTAATGAAGCTCTGTTTCCCACCAAGCGTTGCTCCTCCTTCTCCAGCCACTTTTCATCCTCCATCATCTGCTCTTTCTGCCGGCGGAGAGTGGCCTGCATCTGCCGTCTCTCCGTCTGCCACAGGCGCGTAGCGTCCTCCCTGCTGTTTGGGTCCACGCGGAAGATCTCGCCCTCCTAGGATCAGGAGAATGATGGATTAACATCACATAATGCCTTTTTTGTCTCTAAAGAAATAATTTACCTGCCAAAGGACCATTTGTATATCAATTACTAACCCTGTGTTGTGCTGAATTTGTGAAGAAAGCGTTTTTTTCACGAACGAAGAATCCAAAAAACAGAGTGAATACGTCTTGATGAACCAAAGTCAAAGGGGTCCATGTTAAAGAACAGCAAAACTATAACAAAACATCCATTCACAAAATCTTAGACAACTTGTGCAGTATAATCCAAGTCTAATTTCTCCAGCCGTATGCTAAGTACTTCCCGGACAGCTCTTTCTGACAGGGAATTAAACAGAAAGTTAAACTCCATCTACGCTCTCTCCAAAGCCAGACCCCACTGACAAAAACAGTAATTTTACCTCACTGAACACAGGAGCTGCTGGTCTACCGCTGCCTTGATCAGTGAGTTTGTTTCTGTTTTTGTGTGACTTTGGTGAGTCTAAACTAACCCTTTAAAACACCAAAGTCACACAATAACACAAAGTAACTATCTGATCAAGGCAGAGGCAGACCAGCAGCTCCTGTGTTCAGCGAGGTAAAATTACTGTTTTTGTCAATGGAGTCTGGCTGGGAAGAGAGTATAGTAAAGTTTTGCTTTTAATTCAGTTCCCCATTGGAAAGGGCTGTCTGTCTGGGAAGTACTGAGCATACGACTGGATAAATGAGACTTGGATTATACTGCATGAGTGCACGAGTTGTGCGGACTTTGTAATTGGATGTTTTAATATAGTTTTGCGGTGGTTAAACACGGTCGCCTTTGATTTCAATTAATCAAGAATTTTTTGGATTCTTCTTTCTCCATGGAGGCACATGAGAAAAATAAAGTTTAACTTACAAATTCAACGTAACACAGGGTGAGTAATTGATACATAAATGGTCATTTGAGGGGTGAACTGTTTCTTTGACGCATTCACGTTAAGCTCCAACTTCATTAACATTGTAACACGTGACTTAAAAGGCGAGAAAAATGACCCACATACACACAGAAATGTTAGACTTCAAGACAAATTGCTGAGCCCTTCTTACCACCATGCTTCGACGCCGGGGGGACCAGGATGGCAACGTGAGATTGTTGGTGGAGTCGACCGGGGACTGGTAGTCACATGGGCTGGCCAGGTCAGGTGAGCTGGCACACAAAGCTTCGTTCAGCTGCAGACACACACATCATTTACATAAATATATCTTTTAAGTTAAGCCATCTTGGACGAAACAGGTTAGAGCTACTGTACCTGAATGTGTAGACCAATACTGAGCGTGTTCCCGAACCGCCCTGGTTTTGTTCTTGAAGGCTACAGTAAATATTCAGAGGATCCATTAGAACATTGAATTTGAATAATGTGCTGTTCTGTAAAGCCCCATTTCCACCGAGCGGTACGGTACGGTACAGTTTGGTACGCTTTTTTTCACGTGTCCAAAAGTTGTGGATGGTACCAATGGAACCGTTCTATACTGTCCCCATTTTTGGTCCCCCCTCTGTTGGGGTACCTAGCACACAGATCTGGTACTAAAAGGTGGCGCTGTGAACACTGCAGTCTGATTGGTCAATAGAGGATGGTCACTCTGCTCAGGGCTGAGTTGTGGCTGGTTTTGAGGCTCATGTAACCACTGTTCATACCGTGGAGAGTTTAATTAGTAAACTGTCACTGTAAAATGAAAGGATGTTTTGCTGCCTCTCACAGCAGCTGGAGTCTGAGGAAAAAATAACTTAATTCACTGGGCCGACTGCCGGCGACTTTTAAGGTGGAACGATTACTTGTAATGTTACTCGATGCATGAGCTAACGACGTGAATCCATCAACACACCTTAAATTTCACTGTGACAACTTTGACCATTACTTTAGTTTTTATATGACACACACTTTTAGTAATGAGTGGATCTTCAAGGGTTTATATGTATTAATTTTGGCCGGGTTTTGTGAACGGCATATATTCTAATCTCACTGAGGAAAAAAAAAGCGTCAGGACTAAATACAAACCCGCTATTTTTAAATATCCCATGGAGAGAGACTCTCACTGCAGCCTGTTATATTTTGTTCTGAAAATGTCGGCGTGCAGCCTCGTTCTGTGGACGATAAACGAGGTGCAATAAAGGAGGAAAGTGAGTGCTGGACGGAGCAGTGAGTGACAACAGCACCACCCACATATAACAGTACTGTTTGTGGTGGAAATGCTAGAGTCTAGGTACCATGTCTGAAGGGTTACTGTTTTTTACTTTCCAAAGGTACCATACTGAAAGTGTTTGGTGAAAATGGGGCTAAACATATGTCAGTGGCTGAGTATGACAGTGACCCATACCTTGGGTGGAGGTTCGTTGAAGTTAAACTTGGTGTCGAAAAATTTTGTGGAGCGTGTTCTGTCCCTTTCTCTCTCCACTTCCTGCTCCTTCTCCATGTGGTGGACATCACTGACAGATTTCAGACAAGTTATATCATGCTTTAGTAAGAGAGGTACAAAAACACATTCTATTAACTGTTATTGCAAGTAACTACTTAGTGCTCTGAATCTTCTCAAATTAAGTGCAATGCTGATCTCCCATTTTAATTCTTACAATTTAAAAACTAACCAGTCATCGATGGCTCTAACTTCATCATTACAAAAATACCATCACCGCAGATCCAGCGTGCATCTGGGCCTTATTTAAAAGGTCTTTTCATTCTGTGCCTCTATCATTTTGTAAGAGTATATCTCCTTTTACTTCGAATAAAGACATACCTGATCTTGACCACCAGCTCAGTGAAGTTGGGTCTCTCTCTGGGATCATAGGACCAGCAGCGGGTCATGAGTGAGTAGAGGGCAGGAGGGCAGTTGTCTGGTTTGGGCAGCCTGATTCCCTGCTCCAGCTGGTTGATCACGTCTCTGTTCTCAAGCCAGAAAAACGGCTGCTGTCCGCGACTCATTATCTCCCACACACACACAGCTATCGAGTGATGCAAACAAAGAAACAAAATAAACAGTCATGAGTTTAGGGCCTTTACGCTTCTCATTGTATATGTGCAAAGTACAACAATACAGGCTTGTGTCACTCATGACGACACCATGCTACTGATCAAGGCTGTTTCTGTTCTCCTTTTGGAGCGTGCTCCTGGACATGTCTGTTTTTCATTTCTCCTTTAAAAGGAGAAACAAACTTAATTTACTACCTCATGATTTTATGCCACCACAAACCAGCCACGGTGCAGTTACAGTCTACATCCACATCTGTCCAGACTAATGTATAGCCATGACAAAAGACAATGCTTCAAAGAAGCTTCATATATATTCACATATAGTATTCATACACACGTTGTTGCTGTAGGAGCTACACCTGTTACTTGCAGCTACATGAGATGTTTCACCCAGCCTGACCTGGCCGATGCGTTTTACACGGCTGATACCACAGCGTTCTTGGTTGTGCTGAGTTCAGACAATAAACTGCAGGTGCCAGTTGTGCCAGAAATGTCCATTTCTTTATCTTTCATTCAAACCGAACACACACAGCTCACAGCACGTTGAACACTGTCCCCCGCCACAGCAGTCAAAAACCTTCTGCTCCTCTGGGGCTGATGCACCCGACAGCAACCCTACCATACCCTAAGACTCAAAATATGAATACAGCGCCACCCAGTGTGCACCAATGGTAAATATGATTCAGGTCTGCTGAGTGACATATTTGGCCCTTACAATTGCCATGTGGACTTTACTCGAGCTCAGGTATTTTTTTATGAGCAACACATTCAAAAAGCCAGCGTCTTTATGATAGGTCACTTTTTCTAGTAAATGCTTAGTATGAATTATTCGATTGTAGTAAGTCAGATGTATGAAATGCACCACAGAAGGCTACAGTGTGGCTCTGAAGTGGACCACAAGAGGGTGCTGATTTGGTTGAGGTGTACAGACCGGTGATAACAGATGTAGACTTGATTGTTGCATCAAGTAATTAGGAGAGCTTGTACATGCTCTAAACAAATGTCCATAAAGTGGTTTCTAATCTCTCATAGCCTAAAATAAAGATCAGTCTGTGTGTGTACAGTGCTCCATGTTGTTCTGATATCAGTTCAAATATATTTTTACCATCTCATAAAACCACACAGTGCTGTTTAGGTTGAAGATTAACCAGCCACATGCTTTTTCTCATGTGTGAGTGACTGTGCCTTCCTGTCCCGTGCCCCGAGCATGTTTATTGTCTCTGCACTGAGCTGTTGTACCGTTTGTAGGTCAGTGTATCATAAACTCACCAAACATCCAGACATCACTGGCCGAGGTGAAACGTCTGAAGTTGATGGACTCTGGGGCCATCCACTTGATTGGCAAACGGGTAACAGATGCTGCAAAGGAACAGGAGACATTTTATTTTGTAGTTAACACTTTTCATTTTTGAACAGGAACATAAAGAGGTGCATTTTTATTATTTATGTTCCCTCTTGACTTGTCTGTCAAGGACATATATATGCTTTAAAATTTAGATGATTATGCCTCTCTTACCTTTGTAGTATTCTTCATCCTCGATGTATCTCGACAGACCGAAGTCTCCAAGCTTCACACAGTCTGGACTGGCGACCAACACGTTCCGCACAGCAATGTCTCTGTGACAAAACACAATATAGACAACAAGAAAAGTTAAAGGGCAGCTTTGGTATTTTTTTAACCTGGACCCTATTTTCCCATGTTTTTGTGCCTAGGTGACCAGTGGAGACAACAATTGTTAAAACTGGTCCTGTATTGGGCGAGGCCGCTGCTGCATTCTGGTACAGCATCGCAATATTTTTGTGTGGCAATATTGTATTGTCGCACAGTGCCAAGTCTTGATTTTTTTAATTATACAAATTATTAATATTACCAAAACAAATCAGCTTTTGGTAGTCTACTAGAATAATAATGATATAATCATTGCTTTTTCAGTCCACTACATACATTTCGCTGCAATAAAAACAGCTGGAGTGAGATAAACAGACTGAAAACTTTATCTTGTTAGATAAAACAGATGTTGACAAAGTTTTTCTTTTAAGAAATATTTATGGTTGAAAAAAAGGTAATGAATCGCAATATATTTTATCGCAACACTCAGCACATCTCAACATACTTAAAATTGCAATAAAGTCATATCATTACTTAAGTCACCGTTGGGGAATATTCCTCAAGAACTGCTCAGACAAAAGATGGAATACCACAAGGATCAGTTTTGGGACCTGTTCTGTTCACCCTGTACGTGCTGGGACAGATAATGCATCTTCACAACATCTCTTTCCATAGCTACGCAGATGATACACAGCTGTACCTGTCCATTAGAGCCTCTGACACCAAAAAAATAGTTTCTCTTCATTGGTGCCTATGTGACATAAAAATGTGGATGTCACAAAACTAGTTTTTCCCATGAGTCACTTTGACATGAAAATATGGCAACATAGGATCCAGGTTGAAAAATACCAAACTCACCCTAATGTTGGTACTGGTGGAGATAATAAAAATGCAGATAAGACAAGCACAGTGTCTTAAATGGCCCTTAAATTTGCCTCTCTATCACTGCAGTGCTTCCACTACTGCAGCAGAAAATAATACAAAAGGAATCTTTGCATTTTCCACACAGGCAGAAAGTCATTTCCTTTGTCTGTGTTTTTTTTCTTCACAGGAGATTGAATCCAGAGCGGCTGCTTCGCTGCCTGAAACCTGTTGATAGGATTCTACAGAAACAACTGACTGAACATGTTTTTTCTGTCATTCACATCAGCTTTATATAATGTTGTGTTTTAGTATAAATATTCAAAGTTTAAATGAAAAAAAGTTTTCTATTGTCATATAACTCCACTTTATATTCAGATGCTTTTTTTCTTTGTATCCATCAATAAGACTGTCAAATTGCTTTTTTCCTCACCATATCTGTGAATCAGCACTGTGCAGTAAATCACACTCAGATTTGTCAAATTATTTCAAGGACATACTGTAACTTGTTGCCCAGAACATTACAGGTTGTGCCTCTTTTCTTATGACAGTAACAAAGGATCTTATTTATTATACGCTCCTATCTGTGGAAATTAGGAGTTTTAGCACAGACATACTGTTCAAACATTGCTACTTCAACTTCGTTAGCTGGTCATGGTGACTTAGTAGTGCTGTCAAATTGACTTGGTCATCACTCAGGACAAAAAGGTTTGTTACACTCTAAACATGAGACCTTGGTTTGATGCATAACGTTTAAGGGGAACTGATAGCTAAGTTAACTATGGTTTACATCAATTTACAGAAGATTTATCAGTTGATTGGAAAAATTAAGATCATTATTTGATCATTTTTAAGCCAGGATAAGAAATTGAACAGCCCAATCTCCAAAAAACTGGTGGTATTATATGTTTCAGCAAAAACAGATATGATACATTTGTACTTTTTATCATATCAACGCTTCTGAAGTAGAATAGAATAAATCTTTATTGTCAACCTGGGGTGGAAATTTGATTTCGGCTCACCAAACACGAAAGAAGCTCACGTGGGAGTCCATAACTGTATTTATGCTGTATTTATCCATCAAAGTATTTAAAAATGTCCACAGTTTCAACATGTTGGCCATTGTTTGAAACCAGCTCTGAGATCTTGTTACGTGCAAATAATCAGCTCTTTAGCCCCCAGACTCCATTTAAAAAAACAGAAATTTTAGCATGTACAGAGTTAGCATATTTTCACATCCAACTGGGTGAATTAAGGTTTTATTTTAACCAAACCAGAGTTGATGATTGTTGGAACAGAGGAAAGACAGAACCGAAGTTTTCAGAAACGTACAATGCCAACTTTTTTTCTGGCACTTGGGCTAAATCTAACTGTAGATACACAAGACATGAAGACAACAGCTATATCTTCATTTCTGGGTAACAACACAAAAAATAAAAGGAATCTCTCACCTGTGTACCATGTTGACTCCTTCGAGGTAGACAAGAGCTTTGCAGATCTGCAGGCTGAACAGCACCAGAGTTGTGTTCGTCAGCTTGTTCTGGTTCTGAGTTAGGTAGTTGCCGAGCTGTAACGTCAACATTTCAGTAAGACAGGATTTCACCTAAAGCAACTCTTACCTTTCTTGCATTTCACACAGCTCCACCTCCCTCCAAAGACCCAACCTCCTCCTCCTGCAACTCCACCTCCCTCCAAAGGCCTACTCCCCCCTCCTCCATTACGTCCTCATTACGTCTATGATAGATGTAGGTGCTGGCAAGGTAACTTTAGATACATGGAAGAGGAGAGCAAGTGTAACGTCACAACCAAGACAGTCAAACGCAACCCCAGAGTTTTAAAACTCAACTGGAGTCAGTGATGACTGATGAGTTGTAGAATAAGGTTACAGTACCAACGTAAGATAGTAGCGTTAATGTCACTAGTAAATGGATGTTACGCGAGTGGTTACATCAGTCGGAGGCCTCCACGTGGGGAAGACAGACAGGACGCTCGGACAATAATCGCATCGGTCCGAATGCAATGATTGGTCAGAGTTTTCTTAGAACCATATGAGAATGGTACAATTATGAGTTTTTATCTCTGGTGGAATTCACTTACATTTTAGTGTGCCATCAGCTTATTAATAGCATTTTAACCTAAACAAAGAAAAGCATAAAATTTCCAGAAAGGTAAGTGTCGCTTTAATCGACATCTGCATTCACACACACAGTCTCTGTCTTTCTTTCATACTATGATGCATGTATGTGGCAGCAGGGAAATCAGACCATGCTAGAACTGAGCAAGATTTCAGTTCAGTTACACAGTATGACTGGATTAAAACTGAAACAAGGAAATTAAGACTAGCACCAACCTCTCCATACTGATAAAGCTCCATGACGATCCACACGGGATCGTCCTCGATGATTCCGATCAGTTTGACAATGTGCTGATGATCAAGGTTCTTCATAATCACTGGCAAACACAGAGTTCAAAAATATTAATTTATTGTTAAAACAGTTATTTAACTGTTTTCTACACATTTTTTTAAATTACCTGCTTCACTCATGAACTTCTCCATCACATCAGGTGAACAGTCTTTGCAGGTCTTCACTGCCACATTGATCCTCTCACCACTCTGTTAATAATAATGACAATAACTCCCAGTCCTACTACACGTATACACACAAATGTATCCACTGATTTTTCAGATGTTTCTGTCACCATTTAAGTCTACGGGAAGTCTTTTTGGGCCCAATGGCATTACCTGACAGACTCGGGAGTTGTAGTTTATAGTAGTTTGGCAACTACCAAAATTGGCTTCAAAGCCCGACGCACTTCCTGGGGGCCTGGTGGCAACCTCCAGGGCTACAAAATGAAGCCAGTGCGGAAGTGCAAAAAAGTTGAGCATAGCGTTAGTTCAGGCAGGACATGATGTCAAGCTCAGCTCACATCCCAGCTACATCAGCTGATCTCAAACAGCCCAATCAACTGATGGAGCAGCTGACTGATGGAAGGGAGTCAGCTGATAGATCACATGATTCCTCTCTATACAACCAAATGGCGAATCTCATTCAAGGCGCCCCATTTAAACTGCTCTGGCCTGCCGACTGTTGCTGCTTCCTCTGTATGCTGCTTTGCAACCCGCCTCCACCCCAGCTCCTCCTTTTCATGCTGTGTCTGACTTATCAATGTCATTTCTGTTTGTCATTGATGCTGCTCTGTTCTGTTCCCGAGGGGTCTTTGCTGCTGCTCTCTCTGCCTTAGGCTTTCCATGTAGGCACATGGAGGGGCAGGGAGGTTTGCTCTCTCTGCCTTAGGCTTTCCATGTAGGCACATGGAGGGGCAGGGAGGTTTGCTCTCTCTGCCTTAGGCTTTCCATGTAGGCACATGGAGGGGCAGGGAGGTTTGCTCTCTCTGCCTTAGGCTTTCCATGTAGGCACATGGAGGGGCAGGGAGGTTTGCTCTCTCTGCCTTAGGCTTTCCATGTAGGCACATGGAGGGGCAGGGAGGTTTGCTCTCTCTGCCTTAGGCTTTCCATGTAGGCACATGGAGGGGCAGGGAGGTTTGCTCTCTCTGCCTTAGGCTTTCCATGTAGGCACATGGAGGGGCAGGGAGGTTTGCTCTCTCTGCCTTAGGCTTTCCATGTAGGCACATGGAGGGGCAGGGAGGTGTGCTCTCTCTGCCTTAGGCTTTCCATGTAGGCACATGGAGGGGCAGGGAGGTTTGCTCTCTCTGCCTTAGGCTTTCCATGTAGGCACATGGAGGGGCAGAGAGGTTTGCTCTCTCTGCCTTAGGCTTTCCATGTAGGCACATGGAGGGGCAGGGAGGTGTGCTCTCTCTGCCTTAGGCTTTCCATGTAGGCACATGGAGGGGCAGGGAGGTTTGCTCTCTCTGCCTTAGGCTTTCCATGTAGGCACATGGAGGGGCAGAGAGGTTTGCTCTCCCTGCCTTAGGCTTTCCATGTAGGCACATGGAGGGGCAGGGAGGTGTGCTCTCTCCACCACAGAACAGAGCCATACCGCCAAATACAATACTGCAAATGAAAATAAAGTTTTCTTTGACTAAAGTGGTCCTAACTGAACTACATTTATTTGAATGGCCATTTGAGGCTGGCTCCAAAAGCAGGTCAATCCGCACAGGCCCCCAGCAGAAATAAACGTGTTTACAGCCTGATACAAAAAACTATTTTGGTCTCTACAGTCAATATCCCCCTTCATGACAACTGTACAGGGGGTGAATTTTTAATGTAATTAATGACAACGTTGCTTGGATAACAACGATGGCGTAACCCCAGAGTTACAAAGTATGGGCATAGCTTTTGCTACTTGAGTGTGTTTTCAGTTCATGAAAGTTAACTGTGATGTTTTGGATGGACATTTGTTTATAGCACGTACATTCTTGTTCAATGTTTGGTTGATCTAATAGACCTTTTTAGGAGTTGGATATTCAGTTTTTCTGGTAAATACATTTTGTTTTAATGGTTTTAAGCCTGTTTTGTTGCTTGCAAAAATTAGCATTAGCATTATCACAGTTAACCATAGCTGTAAATACACCGTGCTAACCAAGCTAGCAGGTAGTGTGAGGGTTACCTCCACCGTCTCATCCAAATATTGTCACTTTTGGTTCCAAAAATCCAAGATGGCAACAGCAAATATGCCATATTTAAGCTTCAACAGAAACAATTGTGACTCCTGGCAGCATAGATATTTAATCAATTTATACTTCTCCAGCAAGCTTCCTACCATTATAATCTATAAGCAGTTAATAAATAATCCTGTGTTTGCTGTTAGTATTAATATACTTCAATTAGGAAGATACACTTACATCTTTTTTGTAGACTCCATCATAGACTTCCCCGAAAAAACCCTCACCAAGGATTCGGCCGAGAACAATGTCACTCCGGTCAATCCCGTACTTGACAACTACACAACACGGTTTGCGTTTATGAAATTTCAAAGCAAGTTCACACAGTTATTATTCTGCAAAAGACATGAATACAAACTTTCAACGGACCTGATGTCGGCCTTTCATCGAGAATCTCACAATAGATGTCTGACCCTGAAAATACAAAAGAGAGATCAATATACTTTCACTTGTTTTTGTGAGATAATTACAGAAAGGTTTGGCTTTGAAGATGCTGTGTATTGTACTATACATGGAGGTGATGTAGAACAATGAAAAGTGTCAGCTCACCCATACTGTGTCTGACCGAGCCGCTGTTTCTGCTGCTCCAGAGAGAGGACAGAATGAGAGAAAGCCCGGCTCATAAATTTCCAACTTATGGCTCCTCAGAGCGCTGACAGAATGATTCGATAATACAGCCTTTCTCATCAATAACTCTAACTTTTCATTTCATATTACAACCAAAGGGTATTAGTACAGCTTGGACTCTGCAGCTACGCCGAGGATTAGAGAGGGCCCAAATCATTCAGGGTTGTAAAACCGCCGACATGTACTCACTTTGTAGGAAGCTCAGGTAGAGCGCTCCGTGCACTGGCATCTAGGACAGAAATAAGTCATGATAATTACAGTTAAGCTTAATACATTAATACATTTTAAAAGTCTTCCGTGCAGCCTTTAAGGCCTCCAACTACGCTCCACACTTAAAAACAATGTCTTTGTTGTAAGCTTTTACCATGGTGATGTTAAGAAAGTAATAGGAAAAGTGGCTGAGCTGTACACACCTTTATTTGGCCGGTAGATAACACTATCCTCTGTGTCATTTTCCAGGCGACAGTAGCCATCAATAAGGTCCATCATGTTCTCTGCCATAGACATCGTGGCCACATTGATTGATAGACGCTATCAGAAAGAAGAAAAAAGGGCATGAAGCACATGTACTGGGTCAAATTTCCTGTGCATACACTCTCTATAGTAAACTCTCTTGCTTATTTTAACTTTTCTGATTCTTAACACTGTAAAAAGTAATACTGCGTCATAGGTAGATAGTGTTGTGGTACTTACTTGTCTGGCCCCCTCTATGCTGAAGTCTATGAGTGCCTTGCTGTCGCTCCGAGATAAGCATTTTATTTTCTTGATCTGTTTGAAGTCGGCTAGAAAAACAGGCTGAGAAACAAAAAACTAAAAATTAAAAAATAGGCATGTAATTAATTGAGTTAAGCTGGAGCTGATTACAATTGATAAGCTGTGTGAGATATTAAAGGATGTAGCAAAAGACCAGTTTCTTTGCATAATCTGTCCAGCAGGAATTATTTCATACAGCTTTCACAATAAGAATTCAAATGGTATTTTCCGAAATATATAGGAATACTTTAAAGATGGATACAGTAAATTCAAACAGAATATGAATTTTGGGAAATATGCTTAATTGCTTTCTCGCTGAAATTAATACCCCTCATGATTGTGTGGTAAATATCAGTTAGCAACCAGGATGGTGCAGGAACAAGTCCTAAAACTCAGAAATAAGTTAGCATTTTAGCACTCCTGGTTCCCTCGCCTTGAAGTCGATGTGTTTTTTGAATGGGTTTTTGGTTAGATGCCTGTGGATAACACAAGCTTAAGAAACTTTGATGTTTTGTTCTACAATATGAAATACATCATTTAAAAGCCCACTCGTGAATTTTGAAGATTTGATGTGTCTTAAAAAGGTGATTGCTAACAAGTGGCTAAATGATATTACAGAATGAACACAGCTTTACAGCCTTGTTGTGGTGGCGACGCTAATCTTTCTACTTCTGGTGATTGGGTTTACGCTCTTAAATTAATAAAAGCAGTGCTCCTTTGTGAAGATTACCTTATTGAACAAAACCTGTAAGTATCATAAACGTTTGTTTGCCACAGAGCTTATTTTCTGTAATACTTCAAAATCCAATAGAAAATCCCATAGGCTTTTTAACGAGGGAACCAGTGCAATGCTAACTTCCGTATTGGCCTACAAAAAAAGGTCATCACTGCAGCACTCTATTGACCCTTCCTAAGCCCTGCCCCTTTTCGCTCTGTGCTCCAGTAACCAGTGTTGCCAACTTAGCGACTTTGTCGCTATATTTAGCAACTTTTCAGACCCCTCTAGCGACTCTTTTTCAAAAAAGTGACTAGCGACAAATCTAGCGACTTTTTCTGATGTTATTGAAGACTTCTGGAGACTCTGTTGTGAGAGCACATATCATTCTTATTCTTCTCAACGAGCAGCGGATGCTGCCATGGGCTCCTCTCTCGCCCCAAAGCACTCACAGACGGCCCAGTCCTCCCTCCCAGCTGCAGTCAGAGCAGGAGATGTTAACCCCTCCACGTCCAGACTGCCAGTGAATAGCGCATGTGCGGAACCGCCGCTGGCTGATCCCGACCTGGCTTACAGTCAGGGCGGGATGTAAATGTTAAATTTTCTTTGTCTAATATAAATCACTGAAAGAAGGTTCATTTGTAGTTCTAAACATATTCAGGGTGTTTTTTACTCATTTTTTGTCTCTCCCACGATGTTATTCCTCTCTCCTACAGCAGCCATTACAATTACATGCATATGGACAATTATGCAAATTAGGCGATGATGTCATTTAGCGACTTCTAGCGACTTTTAGGACAGCCAATAGCTACTTTTCTTACTGAGGAGTTGGCAACAGTGCCAGTAACAGTTGAACTAAGCTAAGCTAAGTAACTGACAGAACCTCAGTCAGCTTTCCCCTTTCCTGTTTTATTTTACTATGTGCTAGGCTCGTCTATGCTGAAAAGAAAACCCAGTTTTGAAAATTGAAAGACTGCTGTCACAATCTTTATGCATTGTGTTGTATAGTCACATCTTAAGTTAGGTTAGCTAATGTTAGCAAAACACTAGCCAACTGGCCAGCTAACGTATAGCTACATTAAGAGGAGTTAGCCTAATGTTTGGTTTGCTTTCTCTTTATTTTCTTGGTAACGTTAAAGACGTTTGGAAAGGACTGACAGGTTGGTTGCTGACATATTTTTGAGATGAGTTAGCGTTAGCCAGAAAAGACCAAGGCTTATGTTGCTTTGTCTATGTTGTTTCTGGAAGGCTACGTCCTGCCCCAAAGTAACTTTTGGTGTTATTTATCTGCATATAGCTACACAACATCTAGCATTCCATCGTTAACATATTCTTCCATCACATACTGTAGTCCTGCTGTCGGCTTCTTGAAGCTATATTGCCTCTAATAGATACTGGGGCACCCGTCTACACTGAACCGGCATTGCCACGTTTATTTCCGTCAAGCTTGTCAGACCTAGTAACAGTAACTAAGTTGGGGAGGGACTTATGCTGCGTTCACACTATAAGCGACATGGTAACAGCGTTACTAGCTACATTTTCACCGAGTCACTGTGGAAGTGTTTCTCAGGTGCTCTTTACCATACCTATATCGTCACAGGCTTGTGTGTGTCTGCTACTTGCCACAGATCACCTCGAATGAACGTCATCTTAAGTCTGTATTTAGACATAAAATATCTATGGTTATGATCAGTGTCTGGACGCTATTTTAACATCACATTTAGCTACCCCATTGCATCCCCGTATGCACTGCAACATACTTAAAGCTAGCATAATGTCAGCTAACTAAGCTAAATAACACAGTACCACAGCTAAAAACAAACTATATGACTGGCGCCTCACTGGGCCACTGGAGAAAAAAGTTTCGTTAGTATTGCATCATGCCTGTCAGCAGTGACAAGTGTCGGGCGTCAGTTTGTAACGTTATGTCACCAGCTTACATTGAAAATGAATTGCAGCATTAGGGTCAGTCTTTTAGTGAGCTATAGGGGTGCTGCTGAATGAATTTTGTTTCCTTTTGAAAGAGCTAAGTGAGCTGTTTCTAGTTTTGCTGCTGGCTTTGGCTTCTTGGACACGAGTGCTATCAATCTTATCATCTAACTTTCAGCAGCCAATAAGTGCATTTCCCAAAATGGCCAAATATTCCTTTCACAAAAATCCAGGAAATTGGCTAGATAGATTAGATAGATAACACAACAGTGTACTAAATTGATGAAAGGTCAAATCCAGGTCAAAGGTTAAAGCTATCAACATCTTCATCCTGCTTACCGCTGAATCCTTCTGTGTGCGTTGGCGAATGCCCCTCCCACCGACGACCAGCTCCACTGCTAGACTCCAACCTTGCTGTTCACAAGTGCGAGTGGTTAAATTTTTAAAATATTAATATGAATATGAGCAGATTACGTTTAAAGCTCCCGGCAATTGTAACAATGGCTATCATTGGATTAAGGAGGCTGCTCACCACAAGTTCACATGGGAAAACCTCTTCATCGTAACTGGAGAACTCTTTGAAGGTCTCAAAGAACTTGATCATGCAGTCATCCTCCTTGAGTGTTGCGTACTGTTGAAATGTTTGCTGGATCAACTTCCGTAGCTGCCTTGACTGGATCACAAGCAGGGAAGTTTAAATTATTATTTTATGTTCACTCTGATTAAGGTACCACCCAGTAGTAAATTAGGAAAATTAATTTGGGGTTTTCTAGTCATTAGAGGGAAACTTTGGCGATTTTCAACCAGGTCTGTCTCACCACTGTGGGAGGAGTGTGTGCAGATTAATGGTTTGCCATGGTCTGTTTGACACAGACCTGGTTGAAAATCGTCTAAGTATCCCTTTAAGAATCGAAACCACTGTTAGGATGGTTTACCTTCATGCTGTTAATAAGCTCTTGAGGAAAGAAGAGGTCCAGGCCCACTTCTTTTCTTCATTTGTGAAGGAAAATTTAGAAGAAAACAAAAACATAGGAATTAAAACAGTAAAATAAAATATTGCTACCAGATTGAAACATCATCTTCTGAATGTCATCTTTCAATAAACTACAGAAATGGAGGTCAAATCGCTTCAAGCTATTTACAACATTATCCAGCAATGAGTGAAGTTATGAGTAGTTACAAGATTAATGGAAACTAAAAACTTACTCTAGCAGCTCAAAGTTGGACTTCTTCTCGAGACCTTTAGCATTCATGTCTTTGTAGAACCTCCTGTGATAAGAGAGTAAAAACATCTCAGCAACTAAAACTTTCTATAAAATGCACTCAATAAAACAAATGAAATGAAAAGTTTTAGAACATAAAGAATAAGAGGACTGCAGTGATTCACCTGATCTCCAAACACCCGAGCTGCAGCGCCATGCCTTCACTGACCTTAGAGGCATGATGCTGCATGTAATCACTACGCACCTGTCATTCAGTGAAACAGAGAAATCAGATGTATAATATTTTGTGGCCTGTGCAGTTCATGGATTGGGGGCTTGTTACCGCCGTTAAAGGTACTGAAGATTTCACATTTGTATTTGTAGATTTGTACAAAAACAATAAGTCCCACCTCCAGAAAATCAAATCATATCAACACAAAATCAGTCAAGGAAAATATCATTACAGCACTGGACACACTGACAGCTGCTTTCTTATGCTGTGTGAAAACAACACCTCTTATTGCCAAATATCCATTGGAAAAAAAAATCTAATACTACACCAGCCAGAAAGCGAAAAAAAACAACAACAGCAAAATACACTGTAGCTTGTTACCTGTTGGTAAAAATACACTAAAGTTGATCTGTCATCTTTGAATTTTTCCAAGAAGTTGACAGGAACGTATCTGATGCGGAGGTCATACCTGCATTCAAAAAGAAAACAGATACATCATGCATCATTACCAAATGCCAAGATTTGATATCAAAACACTGCAGATGTCTGCCAGCAGATAACATTCAAACATAGGGCTGGGCAATAAAATGACTATGTACAATATAACAACACCAACACCATTTACAATCATATAGGGTCAAGTTGCGTTACATAACACATACCAGTGTGCATCTCTCATCTCTCACACTTTTTTAGAGCCGTAGCTTGACGTGCAATCCCCTAGAAATGTAACCACACATCGCAGCGATGCAGACCCCCTGTCTGTTTTTGTAAGCTGGAACGATTTCCTTCAGTGGAAACGAAGCTTTTATTTACTTTAATTTCACAGATAAGAAACAATAAATTGTGAAGACAATAAAGCCTCCACAAGATAACATTTTAAGTCTTGTGTGTGATTTATCCTGGCTTCATATGAGCAGAAGAATTCTCCGCTATTTGCTAGGCTGATTTAGACAATGTAAAATGCCATAGGCTTGTGCTAATACCGTTAGCATGTTATGTTTGTTTGGAAAACGTGTTTAGTATAAGACAATTATTTTGTCGGTGATCCTGTGAGCTGTAATGGAGACAAATTTTGTACCGTTACCTTTGTTAAATGTTGCTGTTGTCCCTGGCTTCATATGAGTAGAGGAAAAATTCGCTAGCCACTAGGCTAATTTATACAATGTAAAATGACATAGACTTGTACTAAAAACATTAGCATGTTGTATTTGTGGGGACAATGTGTCCAGCAAAACACAAGTGCTTTGTCTGTAAATGCTGCAAGTTATAGTGAAGCCATTTTGTGTATTTGTGTTTGAAAGTGTCTCTATTAAGCCATGTTTAATGTGTGTTTTAGGTGTGTTTTGAATCAACTAAAATTTACAGCACTTCTGCTGACAACTAGTGTTTTAGAGGTATAACTGTTGTGCAGCTGCATATTTTCAAACGGGAATAAAATTCCTGTCTCTGCATTTTACTTTGATCACAGTCTATTTTTATAAAAGTGCGTGTGATATCTCAAATGTGGCTTTGACTTGCAACTTAAAACATGAAGCTCATTTCGTACAAAATACAGAGCGTGTATTGCCAGTCAGCCTGTAAATACCGAGATATGAATTTTTCTCTATATCGCCCAGCCCTATTCAGACAATCACTCTACAAGATCGAATCAGATACAAACAACCTGCTAATCAATCTATACCTCCACTCAGCTTCCACATGATGGCTCTCGTAGCGTTGCTCCACCTCCCCAATGGTCATATCTGGATGCAGCCAGTGTATTTCGTCTGACTTCAGGTGCTTCAGCAGGAGACTGTAGCATCCTGCATGTGTGATATTCGGTCCCAATCGACCACTGTTCAGAATCGAACGAATGATGGCCTGAAAGAGACAGAATATGCCAATCAAAAAACTAATAATAATAATAATACTCTGAAATGTATTGCACATTGTGGTTGACACTTATTTCATCTTTACATATAAGGGCCAACAATTAGCTGTAAGAGAAATAAGGAGAGAAAGCTTTTATTTTGCCTGTTGCTACAAAGAGTGTAAGATTATTTGTGCGCTGATAAAAGATTTATAACTTCCCTGCACGTTAAGAAGGCCAAATAAAACTGATTTCTGGCTCAAATACAACGCACCACCTTCAACCTTGACAGCTCCTCTTCACTATGTTATCAAGCTATATCAGATAAACACCATTTCCCTCTTACTCAAAGTCTTCTGACACATCCCCTCCCATTCTCATATTTGGATTTTTTGGATCACTCTCACCCTAATTTGCCAGGCGCTGTCACATTTAACCAGCTTGAAGTTCTTGCCCAAGGAGTTGTTGGTGCAGAAGCACACTTTGAGGATCTTGACGGGCCCTCCATCCCCAGTTGAATCAGGTGTGGAGTCTGTGCTGCTAGGTCTTGGACTGGACGCCTTCCAGGCCAGGGTGTCCCCGGACATCACCTCATACATTCTCACAGTTGGATGGGCACCATCATATCCACATCATCCTTTTGACAGACAAAGGAAAAATACTTTAAGATTTAGAAACAAAAAAGAAGAAAGCCTGCTAAAGGTGCAAGCCAAGAACAATGTAGTGACAATGAGTACACACTGTTCTGTGACTTGCTTCATCATAGTGCTGTAGTCATGCGGTGCTTCATTCATGCTGTGATCTTGTGCCATGTGGTGCCTATGACTCACATCATTAGATTCTGAGATCCACCGATTACATTCCTCCCTAACCGTGATTTCAAGTGAGGGCCTGTGTGATTCACACAGCAAGATTGGGACAGTGTGGAGACTTGTATTTATCATCTACATCAACGAAGAAAACTCCTTAATATTCCCTCCATGGTAAACATAACTTAGATTTTATTACAAACGCATATACGTTGAAAAAAATTACCAATCTACAGTCTGAGAGTGAATACACAAATTTTGCAAACTGGAACATCTAAATCTGTCCGAAACCACACAGTGATGACTAACTGACCTGTGTAGTAACCTTTTTGCTGTAGGCTGTTATGCACCTTGATTCATCCTGCAAGAATCTGAAGTGGAAAAATTCAAATGTAGCACGGAAGCAGCTCTTTTGTCCATTTTACAGGAATAATTTGGAATTTTGGGAAGTACTCTTACTTGCCTTCCATGATTTAAATAGGATTGACACCACTCTCATGTATGTAAGTTCAATATTAAGCTCGAACCAGAAGATGTTAGCTTAGCTTAGCACATAGACTGGAAGTGGAGGGAAATACCTAGCCTGACAACGATATCAGCTCACCAGCACCAGATGTGGTAGTAGGTGGATTTTGTTACCTTCAGACAGAGCCAGGCTAGCTGTTTCCCTGTGTTTCCTGTGTCTTTGTACTAAGCTAAGCTAGCCAGCTGCTAGCTCCACCTATACATTACATATTTACCATAAAGACATGAGAGTGGTATCAATCTTCTCATCTAACTCTTGGCAGAAAGCAGATTAGGAATATTTCCCAAAATGTCAAACTAATCCTTGAAGCAGGCTTCCACACCTTTTTGAGCATGAAGTTCAAGGACTTTCCTGAACCAAATTCTTCAAATTTAGAGATTAACCACAGCATTGTGTGAGACACACAGTGTGTCTCAAATCGCATACTTCTATACTAAACACTATTATCAACTACTATCAACTATCAACACTACTATTTTGAAGTACGTTCACACTGCATGGTACCGTAAAATGCACTATACTACTGGTGCATTAAAATGGTCCAAAAGTTGGTTGTGAAATGATGGACACTTGATGGACGGTCGCCATCTTACAAACTTCTCAACTTTTGACATGGCAGCTGGGAGCCTTTGCACGTACTTGCACGTTGCAAGTACCAATACTGTTGTCAGTCAAGACTAAAGTCAATGGCCAACTGGCATGTACGAAATACCTCTCCATAGCCGCAGGCGGCAGTAGTCTGTATTCATCATTCAAAAAGGGAAACCAGAAGACCCACAGCAAGGATTCAAGACACTAGTTAGCCAGTTAGCACATTAACAACACAACCCGACGCTGAGAGAACAAAGGATATTTACCGACATTAGTCAATAGTAATACAAACAATCACGAAGTGTTTGCTAAAAAATAATCTTCCCTAATATGACCAAAAAAAAAGATCTCGTGCCCTCCTGGCTCTAGCTTTTTGTTTACTTTCCTCACTTCCTTGCTTTTATGCATTGAGTTGAACTGCCAATCAGAGGGATTTCTCTCACCAATGAGTCCGATGCAGTTTCAACATGTTGAATCGGCCAAAAAACAGCTGGCAAGGGTCAAGTAATGTCAACGGTGCGGGACATACCACAATAACAAGGGCAACTGATGCTCACTGATGGCCAACCATCGTCTTGGTGTGTCAGGGCATTTACAGTAATGGCAGACAATATCAAAAGAATGATCATTTCTATTCTTGCACAAAATATATATAAATTAATGCACTTTCCATGACGCTATTTTCAAAAACTTTAAATGCCTTGGCTCAGAGTAGTAGGTGGCACCATGTATGGTAGCCTCGGCCACTTGCAGGACTCTGTATGTGAATGGGTGATTGTGACATGTAGTGTAAAAGCTCTTTGAGTGGTCGGAGGACTAGAAAAGCACTATACAAGTGCAGTCCATTTACCTTGATTTTTATGTCAATTTCACAAACTTTCAGCAATTATAAGGACTCATGGGAACCCTGTTTAAGACATGAACACCTGACAAAAACACATTCAAGCAAAAGGAGATCCTGCTTCAACCACTTAGCGTTAAATAAACATGGTGACGGTTACTGAAGATCATAAAAAGTTCAGCCCTCAGCCACAATCACAGTCACATCTACACACCTGTAAAAGGTCAACTAAAATCTTTTCACTGAGTGAAAAAGCTGAACGCCAGCTGCACTCACTTTGATTGAACTGTCAGGCTACATCTGACATTGAGAGGGGCAGCGACTCATGCATCAAGTACAAAAATCTGAAAATACTCTCTCATCTTAGAGCAGCCAAACACAAGTCTGACTCTCCACTCCTCACATTAATACTCTGCCCTGCCAATCAAACATCTGAGAGCATGTTGACTCAGCAAACACGGTAAGAGCAAGCTAAATACTTTAAAACAACCCTGACAACATACCCAGCTGCGAGGCATGTCTGCCGGTCACCCACCTCACAACATTGTCCGTCAGAAAACGGTTGTAACTTGTTTTCTCATAAACGAAGCTCCACGCTGTGAGTCTGCTGCGAGGGAGCTGAGCTGTGTTAGTTTCTGCAGGGCCTTCCGCCGCTGTTGGACAGGGTTGTGTTTTGTTAGCCTGAGGCCATGAATTCCCCAGCAGGGCTGTGTGGGTGTGTTTGTGTGTAACTGTGTGTGTGTGTGTGTGTGTGTGTGTAGTGAGAAAGGGAAAGAGGGAGAAGATGAGAGCGCAGCATGGCCGGCATGTTGCACCATCACCTGGGTGTGGGAGGCCTGACAGGAGGGGAGTGAGGAGGCACAGGGTGAAGTTTAAGATTACTTAAGATAAAGAAAAAAAAACATCCCTGGTTTGAAGAATGAGGGGCTGTGGATACACAAATACATTCCTTGGCTCATGTGGAAGAAACAATGAGTCAACCCAGCGACATATATAAGTTACAGATTGCTGCGAATGCTCTGACAGAATTGCGAAAATCTGCCGTGCCAAAATATTTGTCAGCTGTGGAACAAAACAAGGAAAGAAATATGTAAAAAAAGACAAAAATCTGATGATGACTGACACCATAAATAGCTCTGGTTGTGGTGAAATGTTTTTTATGTTGCTGTTGAATTCCTGTGACCTTCAGTCTAGTTCAGGTAACAACTGCGTGAGACTTGATTTTTGTTTAGTTTTAATTCTTCACACTTAAACACTAAAACCAAGAACAATGGGGTATAGAGAAAATCTGTTTAGAGACATCATGTATTGAAAGATAAGTTTCCTTTTGAGCCAACATCCTCATCTATACATTTATTAGATTACTATTAATTGGAGATATCACAGATTTCACACAAATAAACTTAAAAAAATGACTAGAAAAACATATTGCTGAGTAAAATGTTTGTAAATGTACATCTTTTTTAATCATTTGAGACATTCCTCTTTCACTTTGCTCTAAGTAGGAGTATGTAGCTTGATAAATGTCTTCTTGCAACCCAGTCACCAGAAAAGTTGTTGGCATTGTACGATTCTGCAAACCACAGATACCGGTGATTTATTATGTAGTGGACACGTTCAAACTTTTTGTTTCAACAACACTGTGGTTGGTAGAAAAGATTTCCGCACACTTTCTTCACTTCAAAGTGAATCACTACATAGATAGATAAGTATGTGGAAATCTTTTCTACCAGTTTGGACTTTTTTTTTTTTTTTTTTAAATTTTCCACTCTGTTGTCACATACACACAGGCCCAAAATACACACACATTCACAAACAGGACCAATACATGCATTAAATGGAGAGATGTCAGAGCAAGGGGGCTGCTTTGGACAGGCGCCCCGAGCAGTTGGGGGTCTGGTGCCTTGATCAAGGGCACCTCAGCAGTGCCCAGGAGGCGATCTAGCATCTCTCCAGCTACCAGTCCACGCTCCATACTTGGTCCATATGGGGACTTGTACCGGCAACCCTACAGTTCCCAACCCAAGTCCCCATTGACTGAACTACTGCCGACTTATTGAAGTTTCCGGATCCTTGCCAAGACTACGCTGGGTGGAGCAGTGGTTGGCACAGGCCCCAGGGCCTCCACTAGGGTTTGGTGTTGGTGTTGTGTTATGTTCTTTTGTTTCAGAGTGCTGGTGGCTTGATTGGTCGTGGTGATTGGAGGCAGCTGGCCACTGTCTCCAGCCCTTTAAAACCCGCCCTCCTGGGAACTTGGTGCTTCCTTCTTTTTCCCCCTGGCACCATGCTGCGTTGATTACATTTACTTGAGTTTTTGTATAGTTTAGTTTGCATTATAATACTTGGTTATATTGTTTATTCTTGAATTTTTGTTAAAATAAATTATTTATTTTTATGTAACTCCCCATGTGTTTCCTTATTTGTGATGGTCTTAGAGCCGGACCATAACATCCTGCATCAACAACACTGTGGTTAACATGTGGTTAGGTTTAGGCACAAAAAGTATTTGTGTATGGTTTGGATAAAGATCGTGTTTTGGCTTAAAATACCTGGTTTTGGAGGCACAAATCCAGCAGGAAACACAGTGGTCTCTATAAAAAGCCACCACTTTTCATGCCATTATCCTGGCAGGAAACGCAGCAATGTCTTGGTAAGAAACAACCATTTTTTGCACCACTGTCCCCACCGAAGGGTCGCTACAAAATACCCACACTTGGAGCCTAAAAAGCCACTGGAAACACAGCAGTGACTCCCTGAAACACAACCGGTTTTGTTTGTTGGTCTCAAACGGTCTGCAGTGGTCTGCAGCTTGGCAGGCGTCTCACCACAATGACACACCATGCACCATTCCCTCCACCTCCTGATGACAAAGTCATCTTATGTAACATTCATGGTTTGTAGAAACTTATAATACCAACAGTTTCTTCTGGTGACTGGGCTACTTATTGCTCATGCTCTTTTAGTAAGTGTATTTGTAGAAGTTTAATAAATAAAAGCTTTCCATCAAATGCCTAGTCAGACTCACAGTCTTGAATACTTATTTTTTAATCAGATAATCATGGATTTAATTCATAATTTTGCCAAGGCCCAGGGCTCTTCTGTAATGTGGACATTTAATTTCATCTAGTGGGAAGTCACAACAGTGACCTCATGAAACAATATGAACTCATATTTATACTGTAATGCTGCAGAACAATAGTCTTACAGTGACTGTAAAGGGGACCTATAATGCTCATTTTCAGGTTCATACAGTACTTTTATTTTGGGTTTCTACTAGAACATATTTACATGCTTCGGTGTTCAAAAATCTTTTTTCTTTCCTCATACTGTCTGTGCTGGAACACCTGGCTGAAATGCTTTTTAGCGCCTGTCATTTTAAGCCCCTCTACTGATGCAGAACAACCACTGCTCCACCCAGCTTGGTCTTGGCAAGGTGCTGGAAACATCAATAATAAAAAGATTTAGCATGTTGCTACATGTAGCAGTGTATGTAATGTAAACACTTGCAGTAGCGTACCTGACACAGATGCCCATAAAAAGTAATCTGTCATGAGCTGACATCATCACAAAAGTAGAAAATATATTGGAAACAGAATACATTTTGAAAATTGTACTGCATTTAAATGGAGTCGTGTTTACCGTGTTAATGAGAAGAGTCCATATGAACGCCCCCCTTTTGGTGGTATTCATGACCTCCTAAGAAGCTCTGAGTTCAGGAGCTCATGTTCACGACTTCCCATGACGTAAACATGAGCTCATGAGTTCCATAAGAGCACATTTAGCCATATTTAATATGAACATACGACATGAGCAGTTTTGCATATATGACAAAATAAGAAAAGCTTACAGGTCTTCCTGTCAAACTAAGCACTGTAAACAAATATTACCAGCTAAGTGATAAAAGCCCCAAATTAAAATCACTGACGGCCATGAAGTCCTTTCTTCTCCATGTTCCTAACAACTCTGGTTTTTAAGTGAACAAAAGCGACACTTTCCAGGCACACAGTGTTGTTGCCTCCTTCACACACTGTCATGCTGGCACTTGAGTTGTTATGGTAACAACTGTTCCCGAGGGAGATTTTTATCACAAACTGAGACCAAGGTGGAGTGAACTGACTCTTTGAACGCTCAGTCACAACAAACACTGCAGCGGGAATACTCAGTACCCAAACATTTGTCAAGATTAGGAGTACGTCCTGAGCATTTACTGCTGCCAGTAAATCTCCGTGTTCTGTTAGAAATGTTCAGTATCCAGGAGGTGAGTAACAGGGACTGATTCAGGGTGACGGATTGTGACAAATGAGAGTGGAATTCCACAGCAGCCGGTGAAGAAGCTGCAAACGTACGTAGACAAGGCTGCACTGGAGACAAAGAGGACACTGCTGATGTATCAACCGATATTAGCTTACAGATGATAAATCAGATTAGTGCATATGTCTAAAGCTCAGGGTGTGGGTGTGGTTTCAATTTATAACACATGAAAAGGGGATTGGGTTCCCTTACCCAGGCCAATTTGAGCAACAAACACTTCATTTCCTGCCTCCTGGTGAAGTTTTCTGCACCAATTTTTGCCTTTTCTGCATCAATTTATGATGTAAATGTATTTAATGTAATTGGGGGAGACAAGTACACATGATTTAAATATTGAGGGGGACATGCTAGTGAAGATTCTCAGTCATCCAGGTCATGATAATCATAAGTGCTATATTGTAGGCAACAGGACTTGCTTGAGTTTCTTGAAAAAACGAGTCACCTCTCATCCAAGAGGCTTCTTTAGTTCTAACAGACTGCTGCGGAGTCGCAGACTTTGGCAGTGTGTTGGTGTGAACCCTTTACAGAGTCGTTGGGGTGAGCCCGCTCTCACTCCGAAGGCGCCGAAATCCGGCGCTTAGGCAGTGACTTGCGGCGTCAGAAACCAACACAAAAAGGTTGTTTGCTGTTTTACTTTAACAGCACCCGGCAGCATCAGGGGGAAACGCGGCGGGACAAGGACGAAGGTTCAGGCTGCGAAAGTTCGAGTGAGGCAGGCGGGAAGGAAGGGTGGTGGATGGGTCCAACAAACACCAACTTTCACCTGAGAGAGCAGTGTTTGCGTTCACAAGATTCTTAAGCCAAACCCTGTTCTTTTTTCCTAAACCAAACCACTTCCTTTTGTTGCCTAAACCCAATCATGTGTGTTTGTTGTTGAAGGGAAAAACAGTCAATTCGCAGTGTTCTACCGATGTAGTGCTTTTATTTTGAAAGAGTCTGTATGTTACTTTAAATTTCCTGTGAAAACAGAAGTGTATTTTAAAAGAAGACAATGCATGTAACAGGCAGAACTTGACACGGTGTCCCAGAACGTCAAAAACCAATGCACCCAGGGTACCTTGCATGTCGTATGTAGATGTGGAAAGTCCATGACTGAATGTCAATATGTGACAAGGTCGGAGTAAGAATGTGTTGTTGGGATCACATGTAAGCTCTCAGGGTTCACCCCCCCCAGAGTTTAAAGCCTGCGACTCCACACTGAAGAAGCCTCTTGGATGAGAGGTGAAACGTCTTCAAGAAACCCAAGCAAGCCCAGTTGCCTACGATATAGCACTTAAGATTATTGAGGGGGACCTGTCCACTGCATACCTCCCGAATTCTACAGCTATGTCTGGAGTTGCAACAATTCATTGATTGTTAGTCAA